GTTCTCTTTTGAGGTTTTTTTGTATTACTGAGGATGGTCTAATTGAGACCGAAACGTCTATATGTAATTTTAATTATTAAATATATATTTATTCGCGATGAATATCCTGCGTTCGTAGTTGTATGCCTTTTATTCAATTCTTGTTGTTTTAATATTGAACTACGTTTGACCTAAATTGTCACAGATATTTTTCATAAATATCACGATTATAATACCAGAATGGCTTTGATGAGTAACGTCATCTTTATAATGAGGCTCAAAACTTTTCAGACGATGTTTATTTAAATATTTCTTAAATGTATTATTACAACATGTAACGTTATAAATTAAATTTTATCGTGAATTGTGACACAAAAAATAGATATTGTTTCAAGATAACTTAAGCTTTTCTTTATTGCGACAGATAGATAATTTTCAAAAAATCAAAATACAAAATTTTGACAGTTAAATGTATAACAAAGATTTTCATATTTGCAAAAATTTAAACAACACAAAAATTATATTGATAAATTCAAATAGAATCTTATTATGAATTAAAAATGTTAGTGTATACGTGGAAAATGTTATTTAATATTCTTTTACTATTTATTAAAGCAAAGATATTTATTTCTTGACTGTAATAATTGAAACAAAATTAATGTCAAAGAAATAATGCATAATCAAAGTTGAAAACAGCATCCTCTCGATTATTGTTAACAAATTAACAAGATAATGGATAACTATACCTTGGCATGGGAATATCAAAAGTGATTCGGATGAGATATTACACATGCACTGATCGAGTGGTAACTGAAGATTCTTTACTTCAAGCTGATTATATACAGAGTGAATCAGAGTTGTTGAACCAGTTCTTTATCCTATGAGAAAATTATCGATATTAAGAATCTCATTTTAAACCATACATGTAATCAATATGAACTAAAAAAATGTCTATACCGATCGAAGCTGGATCTTAAATGCTCAAATAATTCGATGTGAATTACTTGGGCATTTACACGGAAAAAAAAAGATTTGCTGATTCAGCAAAGCTATAGCTTGCGAATTCAACATCTGTAATTAAGAAAATTTGGTGGTTCAACAAAGAACTTATGTCTGTAAAGCAGTCATCAGTATTGCCCATATAACAAACTCATCTTTGGTAATATTATCATTGTTATTGCAACAAATTAGTTCAGTTGAAATAATTAATTTAATTGTTTGCAATACATATTGTAATCTACATAGCATGCTGAACGCGGGTCTCAAGTTGCAAAATTATAGACATAGTGTGACTTGCGTAACACACATATTTTTGGCTGTAAGACGCAGAACGCAGAACGCGAAAATTTAACTTCAGTGCATCCTGTGTTTATGTCCAGTACCTATATGTGACGTATAATTAGGTT